CTTTATTTGACCCTCTAACTCTAGCACTCTCTATTCTAATTCTATTCTTTAAAAAAATTGCCCCTTTTAGAATTGCACTCTATTTTTTTACTAACTGCTTGTTTTCTTTAAAAAAAAAAAAAAAATCTTTTTCTATTCTATCTATTTGTTTTCTATTTATTTATTATACAATTAACAAAAGCAAAGAACATCAAACATCAGAAGGACTATGAGAAGAACGTGACAGATGAAGACATGATCCTCAAACTGGGGAAGCTGGCTTTTCAGCAGCTTGTGAAGGGAAATCTGATCTTCTATGAGGAAGACCTGAGAGAGTGTGGCATTGATGTGACAGAAGCATCAGTGTACTCAGGATTGTGCACTCAGATCTTCAGAGAGGAGTTGGGCTTGTATCAGGGGAAAGTCTTCTGCTTTGTTCATCTGAGCATTCAGGAACATCTAGCAGCTCTATATGCACATCTCTCTTTTACCAACAACAACTACAATGTGTTTGACGAAACCAAACAAAGTCTGTTCTCCAAAGTTTTCAAATGGATGAGTTCAGTATCTAAGTTACATCAGAAAGCTGTAGATGATGCTTTACGGAGCAAGAATGGACATCTGGATCTTTTCCTGCGTTTCCTTCTGGGTCTCTCAATGGAGTCCAATCAGGCTCTCTTGAAAAAACTACAGACACAGGCAAGATGCTGCTCCTACAACAAAGAGGAAACAGTTCAGTACATCATACAGAAGATCAGGGAGAATCGCTCTCCAGAGAAATCCATCAATCTATTCCACTGTCTGAATGAACTGGGTGATGATTCACTGGTGCAGGAGATCCAAGATTATCTGAGATCTGGAGAAATAAGAGAAACCAAACTCTCCTCTTCACAGTGGTCAGCTCTGGTTTATGTGTTGCTGACATCAGAGCAGAAGATGGATGTGTTTGATCTAAAACAGTTTATTGGAGCTCAACATACAGCAGGTGACGTTCTTCAGAAGCTGCTGCCTGTGATTAAAGAATCCAGATCAGTTCAGTAAGTAATACTTACAACATGTGTTTAATGTGTGTGAGAGATACACTCAAGCAGCTGAGGAGGTTTTTATGTGGTCTGTGTGAGGGCTGGATGTCAGTGTGTAAGATGAAGATGAAGATTTGAATGTAAGGGGGATCAGAATTGACAGAAAATAGCCTAGATTTTCACTGTCTGTTCTCTAATGATGTTTTTATGTATGTTTTACTGCCTGCATAAATTACATTTGCATTTTCTGTACAGTATGAATTATTGCTGTGTCACGGATGAAGGTTGTGCTTCTCTGGCTTCATGTCTGAGATCAAACCCCTCAAACCTGAGAGAACTAGATCTGATTCAGAATAACATAGGAGACACTGGAGTGAAGCTGCTCTCTGCTGGACTCAAAGATTCTCACTGTAAACTGGTAACACTGTGGTAAGATTGTATAAACATAAAAATTGTATAAACATTCTCATTCACCTCCTACTGGAATTAATGAGTTCTATATAATATAAGGTCCCCTTTTATTGCATATACAGGTGCATCTCAATCAATTAGAATGTCGTGGAAAAGTTCATTTATTTCAGCAATTCAACTCAAATTGTGAAACTTGTGTGTTAAATAAATTCAATGCACACAAACTGAAGTAGTTTAAGTCTTTGGTTCTTTTAATTGTGATGATTTTGGCTCACATTTAACATTAAACTACTTCAGTCTGTGTGCATTGAATTTATTTAATACACGAGTTTCACAATTTGAGTTGAATTACTGAAATTAACTTTTCCACGACATTCTAATTTATTGAGATGCACCTGTAACTCATTAATTCTACTGAAGATTAGGTGATTTAGCTGTACTTAAAAATATTAAGTACAATGTACTCTTGTTTGGATATTGTTTGGATCACTCTGTAAATAAACTGCACTTGGGTTCTCACTTCAACTCGCCTTCAGTGGATGATTTCGTTACAGTACTTATTGTGTTCATGATGTATTGCAAAATTAAGTTGGCATACGAATAAGATTAGGGACATATTTTGTTGTATTGGTACATGTGGGTTTAGATAATTCATTAAATTAATTATTTTTATTTTAATGAAATGTTAGATTTTTGCTAATTTTTTAAATGAAAGATCAAAAGGATAAACCATGCAGATTTATTTTTACAGCCATCTTTGATCATAGTTAAGTGTGGATAATTCTGGCCATGACTGTAGGTGCAGTCTAAAATGCAATTTGAGAACCTTAGACTGGACCCGTTAAATGTGCCATCTTTTTATTGTAAAGCTATGGCTTATTTGAGTTAAACTGCAAGAATAATGGGCGTCAATGTTTTCTACAGGTTAAGATATTGTGGTGTCACAGATGAAGGTTGTGTAGCTCTTACCACAGCTCTGAGATCAAACCCCTCGCACCTGAGAGAACTGGATCTGTCATGGAATAAACCAGGAGCATCAGGAGTGAATCTGCTCTCTGCTGGAATGAAGGATCCTCATTGTAAACTGGAAACACTGAAGTAAGTTCATCTCTCTGAGAATCACACACACACATTGATACTCACAAAAAAATATTCACATTTCAAGACTTTAGAGTTGTGGCAGTTCTGATAATTGTTATCATGAGCATCTCGTTTATAATAAACCCATCCAACGTATCTGCACCAGGTACATTTTCTGCCAGAACTGAGTTTGGGTGTTTTTACACTTAGCATATCAAAGTAAACATTATAAACTGGTATATTTGTCTTTCTGAATTTGTGCATGATGATGCTGTACACTCTAAAAAAAAAAAGGTTCTTCAGCGGTTCTTTGGAGTGGTTAAGGTGCTATATAGCACCTGTAAAAATAGGTGCTAAATAGCACTAAAAGTGGTTCCCCTATGATTACAAGCCAAAGAACCGCTTTTAGTGCTATATAGCACCATTTTTTTTAGAGTGTATGGTACTGAAGCACCCACATCGCTATGGCAGATGAGGAGGAAATGTCAATGTGGTGCTTCTCCATTCCAGTGCTGTGAAGTCACAGTGTGGCCAACACTTCTTCCATTTACAATATCTGATGTGTGCATTAATGAATGTTCATATACGAATAAAAGCCTAAACTAACGATTGTGTCTTCAATAAATGTGAATTCATATGGATTCGTTTTAAGAACTTTTTGAAGCACCAAAGTGGTAGTTGTATGGACTATCAGTGGAGGGACAGAAATCTCTCTCATCCCTATATAGGTTTTTGAAAGGGTCGCACTTTATATTACGTGGCCTTAACTACTATGTACTTACATCAAAAATTAAGTACAATGTACTTATTGTGTTCATATTGTATTGCAAAACACTTTTGCTGCTATTGAGGTGGGATACGGGTAAGGTTAGGGACAGGTTTGGTGGTATGGGTAGGTTTAAGGGTGGGTTAAAGTGTAAGGGATGGGTCAACAGTGTAATTATAAATGTAATTACAGATGTAATTACATGCAAGTATTTTTAAAATAAAAGTACAATGTAAAAACATGTATGTACACAATAAGTGCATTGTACCAAATGAAGGAGTTAAATGTAAGTACATAGTAGTTAAGGCCACCTAATATAAAGTGGAACCCGTTCAAAGTTTCCAAGTGGTACAGACACTATAAACCCTGCCTGATAAACACATTATATATCTGTTTGTTTTGTTCCCTACACAGGCTACATAGCTGTTATCTCACTGATCATTGTTGCAGAAGTTTGTCTTCAGTTTTACAATCCCCAAACTCTATCCTGAGAGAGCTTGACCTGAGTAACAATGATCTGCTAGATTCAGGAGTAAAGTTTCTTTCTGATGGATTGAAGAGTCCAAACTGTCAGTTGGAGATACTGAAGTGAGTGCTTTTCTATTAAATAATTAACAAAACACTAACACCATAAATTACTTAATACGATCAAATTCTTCCTCTCAAATATCTGTCACTATGTGGTATATTAGCATAATACACACCCAAAGGCATACGCAAAGAGAAAAGATTAGACTTCATGTGGCAGAGATGCTGTGTTTCAACGCGAAAGCAAAATCGCTTTATTTGGCCTTCTAAAAATTAGGAATAAGAGTGGGAGAGTACAACACAGGCTATACACAAAGACTACTTACCACTGTGAAATGTACTGCTCAAGTCACGTTTGCATAGTTGGTTCTGATCAATCGGTTTGATCATCCGCGTTTTGAGAATTCGACTCATGCTACATTTTAAGATGAATTAAGGGTGTTGGAAACAGAGTATGTCAGTGGAGTGGAGTGGCAACAATTTCCCCTCCGCGCTCTAAGCTTTCAGTAATCACTCCGCTCCAGCTTTGCTCTGGGTTCACCATTTCCTGCTCCGCGCTCCACTCCTCGCTCACTGATATCAGAAACACCGTTCTGTCTTCGCTCCCTGGGGAAATTTACTGAAAGTATTTCAATCTGCAATAAAATATCACACAAGTTCTGTTCATAATATATATTAAAAGAAAATAAATAAATTTGGATTGCCCCCTAATAGTAGACTAGTCAACAAGAAGAGGCTTAGACGACCAAGATTTTATTAGTTGCAGAAAAAATATAAAAATAAAAATTAACAGCACGCAGTGTTACGGGGCTGACAAGACGTGAGACGTGCGGATCCATGTGCAAGCTTTATTAACAGCAGAGGAGGTCAGAAACACAGGCAGGGTCGAACAGTGGCAAACAGGTATATGGCGGGCAAGACACAAGAATAGTCCTAGGGCTAGCGTCATTCAACGATCAGCAAACAGAATCACAAGGGCGAGACTAAAGGGATAAATCCAGGAAAACAGGCAAAGATCAGGAACCGAGAAAACAGACAAAGCAAGACTAGCCTGGGCTGGGCTAGGAAGCTAAAGAGGGCGCTGTAGAGTAGCTATCAATGCTGGCGATAATCGCATACAAAACTCAGCAGTTAGAAGGAGTGAGATGGAGTGTTAAATAGTGAGTGAGTGATATGAAACAGCTGTGTGCAATCAGTGCAATGAATGATGGGATATGTAGTCCGGGATGACATGCAACAGTTTGTGTTGTGCGAGAGTCACTGTAATGGAAGGGTGACCTCTGGTGGTGATTGAACGGAAGTCCATGGACAGGATCGTGACACGCAGACTGTCACAGACAGATCGTTAACAGCTGGTCTAAGTGGTAATATACATTACATCGAGCGTAAGTAGTTGCAACTTCTTGCTCTAATGCTAACCTAGAGGAATGCGCGATATTCAAGTGTTTGTGTGGAGTGTGGAAGCTGAATAGTAGCGCGCTCACTGCATGACAGATAACATGGAGGCGCTGATGTGATCACTTGCACTAAAAATATGCTGTCATTTTTGGTCATACAGACAAAAGTTATACATCTTTCAGATCTTCAAAGACTCTACTTTTAATTGTGTACACTCATAATAACGACAAAATGTTACACTTTTGTAAAATAATGAAAACAAACTGTGTGCTATGCCATCTTGGTCTCTGTGAACTTGAGCGCATCAGGAAAAAAAGAACCGAATCTCCCTGTATACTTGCCTCACAGACATGAAAATATCTCTATAGAAAGCTAAATGTCCATTTTTACTTGCATAAACCAATGGAAAACAAATATCCTCAGATTATGTAATCCGTATTAAACATGCATTAGGTCCACTACTTCAGAAATGACGAGATGATTACCTTCATCACTGCAGCTGAAAACAAATAAATCACTAGTTTATCAATGAATTATTAAAATGTTTAGACAGTCTCCTTAGTGTTCTGTTGTTAGTTTGTACTGCAACTACACTAGAAGTGAACTTATATGTATACTGGAAGATTAGTTAAATACTTGAAGCACTTTTTTATGTTTATGAAAGTACACTGTATTTTAACTCTTTCCCCAGCAGTTTTATTTTTAATTTTTTTCATAAATACTTGCCAGCCAGCCCCACCGTTTTTGAACATTTTCACAAAACTTTCATGGCCCCCAAAATAATTTGTTGTTTGAAAACCTGAACAGTATATCAAAAGAAAGAGAAAAGCCTCTGCCTTTGAAAAACAACAACATCGTCAAAAAATCTAAAACAAAAAAAAAGATTATATATAAAAAAAGATTATACTGAATTGGATTCAGAATGATAATCAAAATGTAGATCGGGTCCATCAACACCCCCAAAGCATGGCAGTCATTACCTCTTTATAGGTCGACATTTCACTCCATAATGATACACAGTTCCCTTTCATTAGGTCATGTTCGATGTACGTCGGAACTGACCGACGAATTGGGGATCGCTTTGGGAGACCAATCTACTTCGAGTGTAAGAAAAACGAGCCAATGCACATTGGCATGCGATAATTGCCACAGCTGCTCTGCGCTGCAGTGCGAGTATTTAATGAGCAGCCGGTGCGTCGCATATTTGCTTTTTGCTTCGGAGCCGAACACATGTGCTGTTCCTGCGCGTGTGCTTTCTTTGGAAAGTGGTGGAAGACGAGCTGCTCGTTGGGAAGGAGCCTCTGCGTGTCTGGTGCGGGTGTGACAGCGCTGACAGTCTTGGTCGCGATCTCACGAGAGAGAAAAACAGCTGTTCTCACAGCTTGCTGGAGAGTGCGCCTTCAAAGAGTGTGAGTGCTCACAACAGGCTTGCACTATTTGTACTGTTGTGTAGCCGCGGCCATTTCCTCTGTGCGTTTCAGCACCAGTAGAGCGCAAATTCCTAAAAGAGCACACACAGTTTGATCCTGCGTCTTTTTCAAGATGTCATTCAGACCGTGTGCTACTGGATGCGGTCGCTACCTGGCCCCCGGTGATGGTCATGATTACTACCTCACGTGTTTGGGCCTCGCACATGCTGAGGTGGCACTCATGGATGGTACATGTTCTCACTGCGGGAACATGACCATCTCGGTGTTAAGGTCGAGACTCCAGTATCTTGAAAGGACTGGAGCCCCTTTGTATATTCCCCGATCTAGTTCTTCTTCTGGGCCAGCTCAGAAGAAGCCTACTTCGGTTAATAACTTAGGTGACCTGAGGATTACAGTGAGGAATACCCCGCCGAGTCAAACTCCTCGGGCACCTCACTCCTCCATGACACTGCAACCAGTGGAGCCTCCAAGAGGGCATGCTGGTCCGCCTCGTGCGGCACCAGTCGTCACTTTTGGGGATCCTCCAGAGGACCAGATGTCGGTCGCTGCATCGGAGGGTGAGTGTATGTCCTCCGGGGATGAAGATTCGGCTGCACTGCCCCCTTCAGGTGTGGCAGCGTTGCCCGAGTCAGACCCAGAGATGGCTACTATGCTTTCCCGGGCTGCCCTGGACGATTGGTTTCTTGGAGCGGCCTGTGCTGGTTCTCAGTGCTCCGCCCCAGTACCTTTCTTTCCGGAGGTGCATAAAGAGGTGACTAAATCGTGGACGGCACCTTTTTCCTCCCTCGATGATGGGGCGGCTAAGGGGTACGTGGAGCTCCCCCCAGTGGAGCGGTCTGTGGCAATGCAACTGTGTCCCAAGACCGCTACCTCTTGGCGGGGTAATCCGCGTCTCCCTTCCCGAGCGTATAAGTTCTCGTCCTCTCTGGCGGGCAAGGCTTATGGGGTAATCCGCGTGTCCACTCCCGAGCATGTAAGTTCTCGTCCTCTCTGGCGGGCAAGGCTTACACAGCTTGTGGAGAAGCCGCTTCCGCCCTGCATGCCATGGCGCTCCTGCAGGTCTACCAGGCCAAAGCGCTCAAGGAACTGCACAAGGGTAGTTCTGACCCAGGGGTTATGCAGGAACTGCGTGCAGCGACGGACCTTGCCCTACGGGCGACGAAAGTCACTGCACGCTCCCTGGGTCGGGCGATGTCCCCCTTAGTGGTCCAGGAGCGCCACCTGTGGCTGAATCTGGCAGATATGCGTGAGCCCGACAAAGTTCTGTTCCCCAACGCCCCTGTCTGTCAGGCCGGCCTCTTCGGCGACGCTTTTGAAAACTTTGCCCAGCAGTTTTCAGCGGCACAGAAGCAAGCAGGCAGCAGTGTGTGGGTCGAGGACTCCACCAGGCCTTCTCTCACACTCAGCGATCGACCTGAAGGACGCGTACTTTCATGTCTCGATTCTCCCTCGACACATGCCGTTCCTACGGTTTGTGTTCGAGGGTCGGGCTTATCAGTACAAGGTCCTACCCTTTGGGCTGTCCCTGTCGCCTCGCGTCTTTACGAAGGTCGCAGAGGCAGCCATTATTCCACTCAGAGAACGTGGCGTTCACATTCACAACTATCTCGACGACTGGCTGAATCACCCAGCCCTAACATGCAGTAATGCTTTAAACACATTTGACAAGCTAGTTGATAAATTTGACAAGCACATTTGACAAGCTAGTTTAATAGCTCGTCGGCTGCAGCGCCTTCATCTGCTCGTCGCCGAGGGCGCCCCCCGGCGGCCACCTCCACCCCTGCTCAGCCTAAGCAGCAGCCTCCACCTAGGCGGCAGGCGGCTGGCCGCAAGGGGAATGCCCAGCGCGTCCAGGCCCCCGCCAAACCAGGCGGTAAGCGTAAGGGCAAGCGGCCCTGAGACGGGCGACCCAGAGATGGGAGGATCTGCTCTCCGGGAGATGGTGTCTGGACAGCTCCCTCCCCCGGAGGAGGGCCGGGTGGAGAATCCTTTGTTTCCTTTTGTTTTTGTTCCGCCGCTGGCTCCTCGGAGTCCAGTGGTACCCTCATTTTCAAAAAACAGAGCAATTTCCTCTATCTCTGGGTCACAAGAGGGCGTGGTTGGCAGTGTGCGACGTGTTGCAAACACCTTGCCACTCCCTTCCCCCTCCCTCTTTGCCAGCAGGCAGCAGTGTGTGGGTCGAGGACTCCACCAGGCCTTCTCTCACACTCAGCGATCGACCTGAAGGACGCG